ATTTTGCCACTTTATAGATCATTGGTTCGACCTCATCTGGAGTACGCGGTCCAGTTCTGGTCACCAGTACTAAGAAAAGATACCCTTGAGTTGGAAAAAGTCCAGCGGAGGGCAACCAAACTAATTAGGGGTATGGAGGACCAGAGCTACGAGACAAGGCTACTAAATTTAAACATGTTCACATTGGAGGTGAGGAGATTACGGGGGGATATGATCTCCATGTACAAAATGTTCAACGGTGGTAGCAACATTGGCAACAAACTGTTTAAAATTAACTCCATTACAAAAACTAGAGGCCACCACCTAAAATTGGTGGAAAAAAAATTCCAGCACAAGGGGCGAAGGGGGTTCTTCACAGTAAGATCAGTTAGGGTCTGGAACTCACTGCCACAGGCGGTGATTTCAGCAAATAATGTGGAATTGTTCAAGAAACTTTTGGACGATTTCTTAAGGGACCGTAATATACAGGGGTACAGGTACTCCTAGAATGAGATCCTAATAGGTTGGACTTGATGGACTAATGTCTTTATTCAACCTCAAATACTATGTAACTATGTACATGGGCCTGAAAAAGTGGCATCGGGACCTCCCTATTTACAGTGTGAGTGGTAACTTCAGCGGTTGATCTGGTTCATACCAGAAAACAAAAAGGTATAATACAATGGTGAGGTCAGCGTGTGTCAAAAAAAAATGTAGAAACTCACCATTAGGTAAGAAGTGTTGCGAAGGGGTGGAGTCTGTGGATTCTGAATTCCGCTGTATCAAGTCGTGATCTGTTCCTAGGTTGGATGTGGGTCTGCTGGTCACTGATTCGCAGTAGAAGTCCTAGTGGGTGCGGATGGCACAGTGGCTAGACGTAGAGTTCCTTTTCTTCCTGTGGTAGCTGACAGGCTGTGGTGGGCGGATCGGTCCTCAGAGTCTCAGGATGACACAGTGGAACTCCCTGATAGGGAGATCAGCAGTGTGACACTCGTGGGGAGGGGGAAGCAAGCTGGGACAGCAACGGTGCTGTGTGTTCAACCAGGAGTATTAGCTGACAGGCTGTGGTGGGCGGATCTGTCCTCAGAGCCTCGGGCCCTGAGCCTTCCGTATGGCAGAAAGTCACTCCGCTTAAGAGGTTGCCAGGAAGGACCGAGTGGCTGTTATAGCCAATATTAAAGATCAACTCCTTAAATCTGAACATTCACCCTCTAAACGTTTATTGCGGGAGGTGTTAAGATTGAGAGCACGGTTGCAACATCTGTATGTCCATAAGACTGCAATCTCCATGTTATATTCGAGACAGAAATACTACGAGAAGGGCAATAAGGTCCACGCGCTTTTGGCTCGTAGGTTACGGGCTGAAGCCAACCTGAAAGGGGTTTCTGCAGTGTGCAACTCTGGAGGCACGTTACACCACCATCCCCAAAAAATGGCAGATATATTCAGGGTTTTTTACGAATTTCTGTATAATCTCCCTGAGGCCAACTTCAATAACGGTGATGCCACCCTGACCTCGCGCATACAGGAATATCATAGCTCGTGTGACTTGCCTGTACTGTCCACTGATGACTGTGCAAAGCTAAATGCCCCGATGGAGGTAGAAGGTTCGTAGAACCATTGCCTCCCTCCCAACGGGCAAGTCGCCAGGGCCTGATGGTTTTACCTACCTCTACTACAAGACCTATTCTCACCTGCTTACCCCGAACTTAACTAACTAAGACTATATTAATCAATCCTTAGAGAGCCTCCTCATCCCGTCCTCCTTTTTGCAGTCCTATTTTTGTACTGGGTAGACAGGCGGGGGATAATACTCGAAGACTTGTTAACATAATAGATATTGCAAATCGCAGAGGGGTGGGAATGGTCTTACTTAGTTTAGACACAGAGAAGGCCTTCAACAGGCTCGGATGGCCTTTTCTGCAGAGTCTCCTGGCTCGCATTGGTGTGGTGGGGCCTTTTGCTACAGCCATTGCCTCTCTTTACTCCACGCTGTCGGCGTCCATCAAATTGAAGGGGGCTATGTCGCCTGTCTTTCAGATTCGTAACAGATCCAGGAAGGGGTGCCTGCTTTCTCTGTTTTTGTTTGTGCTATGCATAGAGGCCTTGGCTGCTAGGATTCGATCTTCCCCAGACATTTCAGGACTTGCCTTGGGCTCCCAGGAATTTAAAATCGCGTTGTTCGCGGACGACGTGATCCTCACGCTTACAGACCCTAAGAGATCATTGCATTATTTGCATCAAGAGCTTCGGCTTTATTCGAGTTTGTCAGGATATAAATTGAACCTGGGTAAAACCGAGGCTATGCCCTTAAACCTCTACCCCAATGATTTGACCTCTCACCAGGCCTCTCATCCCTACAGATGGATGACTGTGAAATACTTGGGAATTTACCTGACCCCAAAAATGCATATGCTCTACAGCGCCAATTACAAGCCACTTTTTGTTGCCCTGCGGTCTCTTTTACACCAATGCGTTCCTATAACCACTTGCTTATTGGGAAAATATCGACCATTAAAATGACCCTACTCCCCAAACTGCTCTATTATTTTAGTACCTTATCGATTGGCATTCCAGCATCGGACCGTAAGTCCATACAACTACATATCCTGCAATTTATATGGGGAGGGGGGAGGGGCTGGACGCCACAGAGTTTCTCAGCAAATAGTATGTGCCTCCAAACAATGGGGTGGAATGGTGCTGCCCAATATTACCATTATTTTGCTGTGGCCCAAATGCGTGCTATACCTCTTTGGAGTACTATGACTCCTCCCGCCACATGGGTTGAAATTGAGTCTCTGCGGCTTGCACCGACCCACCTTAACTCTCTTCTGTGGGTGTTGCCACAGCCTCTCCTACCACCTTCCCTTTTAATGTCTATGCTCTGTACTAGAAATATTTGGCTTAAATTTAGATTTGCCTTTAACTTAACAACCCAGCAGTCCCCCATGACCTCTTTCTTACACACCCCCTCCCTCCCAACTAGTCTTGAGAGGGCGTGGGCTTCGCCCTGGGCAGAGAACTAACTCTTCCGTTTTAGAGATATTGATCTGGGGTCCGGGGCCTTACATTCCTTCGAGAGAAATACAAACTTCCTTCTAAAATCCTATTTGCATATCTCCAGATAAAGCATTATGCCCAGTCCATTACTAAATCTCAATCATTCCCAAAATGTACCCCATTCGAATCTCTCTGTGCAAGGTCACCTTCCTCCAGGGGCTTGATCTCCACTATATACAATATGCTAGGGGATGCAGCTCTAGGTGAGCTTCCGAGACACATCACACTGGAACAATTGGAGAGTGTTTGAAGAGCGGCATCCTCATCCTCCATATGCTCTACCTACAAAGAAAGTCAGTATAAAGTACTTTATCATTGGTACCACACCCCTGAATTTCTTCATAATATTTATCCCAGCATCTCCCCCCTCTGTTGGCGATGTAAGTCTCAAACTGGTTCCATATTTCACATCTTCTGGCAATGTTGTTGGATCAGGCTATTCTGGAGGAATGTCCAGTCTGTATTGGAGAACCTTCTCAGCCGTAAGGTCCCGTTAGACCCACTGAATTATCTACTGGGTCTCCCCCTTGAAGGGTTCCATAAATATGATAAAAAACTGGCATCTCATGTGTTGACAGCTGCACGCTGCCTAATAGCCCTTCATTGGAAGCGCAGTACTCAGCCACAGATTCGGACCTCTATACCAAAATCAAAGACGTTCAAAAACTAGAATACCTGACTGCTAGGCTGAATAACACACTGAATCTTTACAATAAGGTTTGGGAAGCGTGGGATGAAGTTGAGCTTGCTAGCTCCAATGCATAAGTGGGACCAAATGGTTCCGGTCCAGTCTGCAGAAACCTGGCCGATAAGCAGAGCTAGAAAATGCTCTTTTACGAATTGAACCACCACAGTTCATTCCAAGATAGACATATGGCTAAGAATAGTGAATGTGATGCAATTGAACATCTAATTTTTTTTTCTTTTTACACAACTTTAATGCCTGCTCATTAGTCTTCTCTTATCCCGAATTGGCTGCATTTACTTTTTCTTACTAATGACTTGATACCGTAGTTGGTCTACTATGCACTGTTGTGCATCATACATTGTAATATTGGCTATGTCCTGTATATTTCCTCTTTTTTTCTTTTTTTTTTCTTTTGCTACTCCTGTATTATCTGAATAAAAATTGTCAATTATAAAAAAAAAAAAGCAAGATAAACAGGAAAAAGGGTCTTTCTCTATGCTGAATGGTGGAAAAGACAGCAGAGCACACGCACACAACTTTCCACCCAGTGGATGATATCAGCACTCAGGAACCCAGAAGATGACATCAGAACCGAGTCCATCAGCATTAACCCTTTGTGGTAAAACCTGCAAGTAGTGAGAAATTTAAAAGGCATCCAGTAGTGCAAAAATCCAGGCAGTTCTCTTTGCATCAGTCTGAACAATCTTACTCAAAGAGTGCATTTTCAGAGACCGTATCAAGCCCTGGGGCAATGCCATGGCTTTGGACCTGGAAAGTGCTTCACCGCTAACTTTTGCCAGTACACAAAAAGTAAGGAAAATTTGACAAATGCCCAGTACACATAGGTCACATCTGAGGCTAGTTCTGCATCTCCAAACCAGCAGGGTCTGAATATGGCACTCCGAAGCCAAGCTCAGAAAAGGCAGATCCATATAGCCACTATGTAGAAATCGGCTTAAGCAGGGATGCTGCAAGGAATCTTGACTGAAGATGTTGTAAGAGAATGAAAAGGACCAAATAAATGTGAATCAATAGAAGGTTAGCAAAAGAGTGGTTAGATATTTCTCAGAAAAGCTGAAGAAAAGGCATCCATCCTCCTAGGACACTAGGAAAAAAACTCAGGCATGCTGGGGCAAGTTTGTTTGCCAGTGTCCAAACCTCCTGTAGGTAGTAATATAACCCAACTATCTGAATTCTTGTGTCCCTCAATGGATGAGAAATGTTTTTTGTTTTTTTTTAATGAACAAGTTCCTAACTGAATATTTAAAGTTACCTCTTTTACATGGGAGTGAAGAGACACAGACATATCTAGTAAAATCTTTCGATGTTCAACCCGTCTGACAAAATCTTGGATTCGGTCTTCTAACTGATGGGCTGCTTGATAAATTTCTTCTGGGTCACATTCTCCGGTTTGCGCCAACTGCTCAGCGGCTTCCAGCAACTTGTCTGCATTGGTATAAGTATTCTGAATAGAAAATAAATATGCATTTAACTACTATTTACCTTATTTCAAATACTACACTGAATTACAACAGACATGCATAAATCTTTAGTACACATGAGCAAAAACAGCAAAAGCATTAAGGGCTCGTTCACACCAAACGCAGTGTGTTCCGGCCCGATTCTGGCCAGAATGCACTGCATCGCAGCTGCGCAGCATGCGGCTGGTTCACTATGTGGTGGGGCAGGGGCGGGCGTGGCAGTCCATTTTGCAGCATTTTGTTCGGACCGGACCGCAGGCATAATGTGCCATGTGATCTCGTGCGGCCAGAGGTCATGGCTTTGGTGCCATTCACTTCAATGGACGACCACAACCCCTTCTGCCCCACAACATAGTGAGCCGGTCGCCATGCGATGCAGTGTGTTCTGGCCAGAATCGGGCCGGAAAGCACTGCATCTGGTGCGAACGAGGCCTTAAAGAGAACCTGGTAGGGACATCCTTAAACTGTATTTCCACATTTGCAACCAAATTGGGATAACACCTACTGTATATGTGTGTTACATGATCACATTGACAGAACTTTACAAAAATGTGCTGCTTACTTTCTTAAATGCTGCAAGCCCTGTTCGGGATTCCGACCATTGCTGCGGTCAGAATACAGTGGAGGACATTTATCAATTTGCATCATCATCTTTTAAATAGCCGCATCCCTGATTATTATTTTAAAATTTTTATTGAGTTTTACTACAAAACAATAACGAACAAGCAATCAAATCAAATAGATCCAATATCAATAAACACCAAAAGTAATACGATTTGTCTCGATAGGAAGATACAATACAATAATGATAAAGTGTCATGTATTTGCAACACACATAGAAAAGGTTATAAAGTACTATTAAGGAAGGAACATTAAGGTGTGAGAAATTCAGGTCGACTTGTTAGGAGAGGACAATCAGGAACCCCATAGGTTCAAAGAGCTATGGGTGACCCCCCCTCTGCTCGTAAGTGATCTTATACAGTGGAAGCGATTGATCAACTAGACATTTCCAGCAACCCAGGGAAGGTGCCTGCGGACTGCTCCACACTAAAAACAGCTTTCCTGCCGTAAAAAAAGAAGAATACGGAGAAGACGTCGAGCCAGAATGTAGTCTTGAGCCAGCCTAGTAAACCCAGGGGACAGAGCGAAAGGTTACAGACATTGGGAAGGCCCAGGTTAATTTTGTTCCAAAAATGCAGGTTCTCAGGTAGGTACAAATAATCCTGCAGGACCAAAAAGAAGAGAAAAAAATCTGCCCTCTCTCCACAGTTTAAAACAGCTGGGCGAGGAGCGTAGGCCCAACGTGCATAGGAGGGACAAGGTATAGTACAACTGGTAGAAACATTTTTTTTGGATAATTCTGTCTTTGGATGCTATAAGAGAGGTCATATACATATCCTCAAAGTCATACCAATTCTCAGTATGCATATTAACAAGAAGTTGTTGCCATTTACCTTAAGTCTTGTCGGATCTATGGGATCTAGAGATAAGCAGTTCAGCACAGTAAGTGGAGATGAGTTTAGACGATACCTCTCTACAAAGCAATTTCTCCAAAGGAGATGGAGTTAAGCATCCCCGATTTTTTTAATGTATATAGCGACAGATTTATTACCCTAGTTTATGTTTTATTCCTAAATGCCATCGTAAGGAGAATTGTCTATAAACTATCTCTAAATTATCACAAGCTTACAGGGAACCTTCTGGTTCTGGATGACAGCTGGATAGCCCTTAGGTGCTTACCTGACTTGAGGGTATGAAGCTGAATTCTCCTTGCGATACTTTCAGTGCTCAGGAGAAGTTCTAGAATGTGCACCAGTTTGGGAGGTTGTTAATGTCGCAAATGCTGGATGCAAATCCCGCGCAGTTGAGAGATTATGCGAAATGTCGGAAAATATGTGCAGTAAGCTCACAAACATTACTATGTCACAAGAACACTTAAAAGGCACATAAGAGAAATAAAAGTTATTTAGCATGACATTTTAATCTTTGCACCTAAACATTTTGTTGCCAACAAGTTCATACATTCACACCAATGTACACAGCAGGAGATTTGTTCATCCTTGCTATTAGCATGGATGTAGGAATAAAAAAAAAATGTCTTAAGCCTGCGAGGGTGAGAAAAAATGATCATTGTGTGTACCTAGCTTTAGCATTTACCTTCCAGACTGTCATTAATCTCCATATTGCCATATTTTCAACGCAGCAGAATCTGCTCAGAGTTATATGAATAATCCTGCTCCCAAAAAAATAAAAGCAACCTCAAAACGTTTTTGTTTTTTTAAAGATTTTTAGGTAAACTGTGTGAATGGGAACACAAACCAAACATAGTGGGGATTTCTCAAATTTGATTGCAAAGGTGAAAATGTACTTTAAATTACCATGGTGAATGTCTTAAAGCAGAAGGCTCGTGGAGAGATTAATAAACAGCAAGGTGTCACCGTTATGTTGGAGGGGCTGCGGACAGGTGGCATCACATGCTCACATATGGTGGCAATGTCCTAAAATTATTCCCTATTGGCAGGAGATTGCTGCAGAAATGTTGAGCATTCAAGGAACAACGGTGCAGCTAGACCCCTGGGAGATGTTGTTTCATGGCTCTGAGGGTTCAATGGGCAGATACGCCCGTTCCATTACACCACATCTACTTAATGCGGCTAAAATTTTGATTCCAGGCAAATGGAAGAGTGACTCTATTCCCACCTTAGGAGAAGTGTATGTGTGTAATGTTTCCCCTGTATTCTTATTTGAAAACTTGTTTCAATAAAAACTTATTATACAAAAAAAATAAACAGCAAGGTGGCTTGCAGCTTAACTCTTGTTCCTATTTTCAACCACCACCAGTAAAGATAAGTTATCACTTAATCTTTTTACTTTATTACTTTTTCATTTTTATTTAATTTTTTGTCACATTTTAATATTTTAATCACTTTTAATTTTATTATTTTTTCACTCAACTTTATTACTATCACACAGGGGCTAACAAGCCCCTAAGTGATAGTGTTTGGAGGTGACATTTTCTCCTTATGGAACCTGCCCTCCAATGCAGAACATCGAGCAACTGTATTGTGCTCAAATCCGGGCAAGTACAGCTCTCCTGCCTCACTGATAACAGAGAGCAGATCAGGGAACAGACGTTCTCCGCTCTGTTCCCCATCCTGAAATGATTGCCGGGGGACCCCGAAAACCGGCTGGGGGGGGGGAAGTGAAAAGAAGACACAAGATGGCTGCTCATTTTATTTCTATTTTCTGAAATCACTTGTACTAAATGAGTAAAAAGGGAGCACAGAGAAAAGTGGGGTTTTTAAGGCACCACCAAATCACAAGTCACCAAGATTTCAGATGTTGGTTAAAAATGTTATTTTATTAATTACATGAATAAAATGAGAAGAAATGGCCATGATAAAAAACTAACTAAGGTAAAAGCCTCCACTGTCCACCCAGTTCCTGATTTTAGATAAGGCATGATTAAATTTAGCATGTAACAACATAGAAATTCATAAATAGGTCATGCAGATATGAGCAACTAAAAATACATAACATGATTGGTAACAGCAATTCATAAGCCTTTGCTGCAAAACAGGGAGTGGATGATAGTAAGTATCCAAACGCGTTTTGCGCATATACCGCACGTCATCAGGAGGGGAGGAAATCAGCCCCAAGCAGAGATAATGGATGCATGCCTGGGAAAGGCAGTCAGGACCACAGCGAATGGGTGAAAGGGTTAATCCATTAAAGACGGAAAACATATGCCTCAGGATGACCGATTCATCTGTTTTCCACTTATAGGAGAGGATCCCAAAATAGCAGCAGAGGGGAAGAGAGAATGGGACAGAAAAGGCACCCTACGTCAGCCCACAGAGACAAGCCGCTGGTGTGTGCCCGGCCGTCCCTTGCCATGCACTGTATGTTCTTTTTTGTACTTAATGAGTGCCGGCTCCCCCGCTCTACATTTAGCTCTGATAGCCTGCAGCAGGACTAAATGTAGAAAAAAAAACTACCGGCCGGGCACTGCATGTCCCAGGCATCGAGCGATACAATTTCTGTATCCCTGCGATTTAATATATCATTTTTTGAGCTACTGCTATCCTTTTCTGTTACTTCTTCCTCTTCATATTTGTCATTTTTCTCATGGACTTCTAAAAACCTAAAGGTTTGCATGGATTGAAACCAGCTTTTCTACCCCTTCACAGGTCAGGTTGTTTCTTAAATTGGTATGAATATTACCAAACATAGACCAGATCCTTTCACATGCAGCTGAAAGAGGTGTCAGAGGTTGTGTTGTGCAGAGACCTTGCCACCATGTTGCAGGAGAGATATGTTTTGCAGCATCCCAGACTGCATTCCTGGCTCTAATCCCCGAAGATGTAAAATTTTCTGCAACATTTGAAAGTAATTTTCCAACATCAAATCCTAAGAGTACAGCTTGATTTGTAATCCAGTCAAATGCAGCAGCTGTATTCTCATCACTCACATGACTGCCTTTGAATCTTGGATCCAGTGGATTTGCAGCAGCATGTATTGGATGGCAACAGGGCCGGACTGGCCATAGGGCAAACCGGGCACTTGCCCGGTGGGCCGGACCGGGCCGAACACAATCAACCTGATTGTGTTCGGGCCGGTCCGCTATGCCGATGGCCGGCTCCGTGCAGAGCAGTGTCTACTGTGTGATAGCGAGCAGAGCCGCCACTACCACACAGTAGACACTGGAGGGCGCTGGTGGGGGAGGCCAGAGAAACACCTCCTCCCCCAGCTCTCTCTACTCCGTGCTCTTTCCGGAGCTTGCTGGTGCTGTTCCTGCAGCCTGCACTGTCCCGGTACCGGCGAGATATTAACATATGTATGGGCCGGTAATTTGCATATCAATAAGCCGCGGTCCATTCATATGTAAATATCGCAGCTCATTCATATGCAAATTACTACCCCTCCGCTGCTAAGGAAGAGAAGACTGCAAGAACAAGGTATGTGTATGGTCAGGGATTTACTC